CATTTCATTAAATGAATTATACTGATCGCCTCCATGTGTTTTTTAGTCCTTATTATGTTAACATATGTCATAGAAACGTGTTGTTATGTCCTAGATTATTACCTTAATATTACGTTAGCATAGGTACCTTACGACTTACACGGAAAATCGCATTACGAAGAAACGGAACTGTGTCGTAAGTCGAGGAATCCCTGTCTATATTTCTTCAACTTAATTCTCTTGTTTGAATTTCTTCAATCAAACAATGTCATTAATAATTCTGCACTTATTTCCATTGTTTCTTATAGCCAAGTAATAATAATAATAATCTTTTCTTTTTTTAAATAGTATTTCTGTAGTAATAGTCTTCTTCTTCTATGTGCCAGGGTGATCATGGCTCTCCACAATTTCCTGTCCTTTGTAGCTTTTAGTAAGGTTTTATTTATTATCTTTGTTCTGTCAACCATCTACACAAATTCGTTAGGCAAAATCATTCGCTACTTTCCTCTGTCTCTTTTGTTTTCAATCTATCCTGAGAGTGTCAAACTCTCCAAGCCTTCTTTCCTCATTATCTCTTTTTAATTCTAAGTGTCCTTTTTGTTTCCATTTTCCCTAAAACTTCCTCGTTGCTCACATGTTCAGTCCATGGTATTCTCAGCATCCTTCTGTAGAACCACATTTCTCTTGTCGCGAGTCTCTTCATCTTTGAAGAGAGGGTCCAGCTTCCGCTGATATATAGCAGGACCGACTTTACATAAAAATTTACTCCTATTTTATTTGTTTCTAATGAGATTTTCCTGTTTCTTAATACTTTGCTATTTTTTTATTTTATTTACATTATTCGGACTATTGTCCTCATCTTTGTCGCCATATTTATTACAATGTTTCGGCCGTTGTACGCTCCGGCCTTCTTCAGGTGGTTGGAATGTCGAACTTAACCCTTTATTTCGCTCACTGGGGTAGACTGTTCTAGTTCCACGTGCCATGATTAATGGATGTCAGTTATCAGTTATCTCCTGTTAATTCTCCTCTGAAAGTTCTTTCTGCGGTAGACTAGTTGCCATCAAAGGCTATTTATTCGAGGTGGGGGAGGAGAAGAAGAGGATTCATACCTTTCCCAAGGGCATTAACACGTAAGTGAATGCAGTGGATTCGACTGGAATTCGAACTCACCTCTCCGATTCTTCAATTGGAGAGCCCAACCATTGGGAATAAGCACTTAACCCAAGCCTCTTTATACTCAGAAGTTTGGCGCAACATAATCTTTTTTACATTTCTTTCAGTGGCCCTCTGTAGCGGAGTAGGCTAATAGTAATGTTAACCTTTTCCTTATAAGGAAATATTCATTGACGAGCTGCTTTATACGAAAATCGGCTGAAATTTGTAACATTTTTCTCTTAAAATAATTTTTCAGGAAAACAGGTTTCTCAACTCCAGTAGCTGTTATCGCTCTTTCCAGTATTGACGGAAGTTTCCTTCCTAACCTTTTATTTGAAGTAGTGTGGAATGTCAACAAATTGATTATGTCATTTATTTTTTCTCTTCGTGTTACATGTGATATTCATTTTAGCTGTTGCAAGTTCTCAAGTGATATGATTTTTGTTATCTGGTTCAGTTCTTTGTGATTCTGTAGTATCTGTCCACAATGTTTAAATAAGTGTGCGAAAACCACATGTTTCTCTCGCTCAAAGGCAAATATAACCTTGACCTTAGAAAGTGATATTATAAATACTAACGTTCGGACACTTCAAACTGATTGGTTAAATATTTTAAATTCATGCCAGAATATATCAATCAAAATATTGTTTAAAATGACAATGAAGAGGATAGTTTTTAAACTTAACTCTGTCTCCTTTTTATAAGTTAAACAAGTCAATAAAATGCTGCTTAGAATATCTGAAGAAATCATTTTTCTCTCAGATTAGAATATTTCAGGGATTTCTGACAGTTTTGTTAAATTTTCTTAATTTTTTCGGACTTTAGGTTGACTTAGCTTTCGCCAAGAAGATATAAAACAAACCTCACCTTTCGTTTTACTTTGTCTCTCTTTCTCTCCCACCTTCTCTGTCTGTCCTTCACTTCTCTCTCTCTCTCTCTCTCCTCCCATCCCTTCACTTTATCTCTCCCATCCCGTCCTCTCTTTTATCCATTCTTTCTCTACCTTCTCTCTCCTCTCCGTTATCTGTCTCTCTGTTCCTATCCTTTTTTTCTCTTTCCCATCACTTCCTATTCCCCCTTCTCATCTTTCTCACTCTCTCCCAAATGTTCTCTTTCTTCTTTCCTTTTCTCCTATTCTCTCCCCTCCCTCCCCCCTCTCTCTCTCCTTTTCTCTTTCACATACCTTCCATCTCTGTCCCATCACTTTCCTCCCCCCAGCTTATCTAACTATCTCTCTTTCCCGCTCTACAATTTCTCCTTCCACTTAACATATGGATTATTTCTGTCACTTATCGATGGGGGTCAAGTGACAGTAAACCACCTCAAATCACCTGCATTTTTTCGGCCTTCTCACTTGCTCTGACGTCACTACATCGTCTCAATTCTTCTCCGGGTAGCAAAATTTCTCCAGTCTCTGGCCGAGACATTTTGGAAATAAGTTCTCGACCCTAACATTTTTCACAAACTGGCAGCTTGTCTTCTTTTCACCGATACGTTTATCTTTTGCAGCGAAAAAAAATTTTTTTCTTCATCTCAGACTACTTCAACAGAAAGTTAAGGTTGCGTGAATATCTAAGATTGTGCTGCAAATAAAATATGCAATATCCACAAACATAAATTATAAGAAATGATCAAATGGTAACGATATTCAATAACGACAAATAATACATGTTTGAAACAACAAATTAAATTTTATATACACAATTTAGAATTTCTTTGTTTGTAATGATGTATGCAAAGGTATATTTAAGAGAAATAAGTTCTTTGCTATTTTGTAAATGTTCAATGTCGAAAAAGTTGATTGCCTTTAATTAAAAAGGTTGAATTTAACTTAGACAAAAGTTTTTTCTATGGAAGATATTGAGTGAAAAAGTTTGTTGTGTAAAATTTTCTACTCACTCATAAAGGAAGTTTGTTTCTTTGGCGGCACATAATTCCCGTGTGTATCTTTCGCGTGTGTGAATCTCAATTATATTTATTGTATAGAATACAATTATGGCACAAGACCGAAAAGAGGGAAGGGGTTGAGGCTCGTCCATACTGACTATCTTATACCTAGCTAATCTGATTCACGACCCTTTCACTCATTACAATTTGTCCATTCACCACAAGAACTCATCCGTCACCAATCAATCCTCAATCCTCCATAATACCGCATCCTCTCAGGGGAACCTACAGAAAACGCGCCCCATGACTTAATAATTTGATGATGATAAAATATATACAATATATACATAAAAAATCTCAATTGCGACGAAAATTCGTTCGCCATTTCTATTTCTCTTTCTTTCTTTTTTTTTAAACAACCAAATCGGCTCCAATGGGGCTTGGTAGCTGTTGCGAATTTTTTTGAGAAATGCGTGGTCGAATGTTGTATTTTTTAATTTTTTTAGCCAATAGGATTTCTTGAAACATTTAAATTAGGGATGAATTTGAGAAAGATTTTTTTTTACGTCGGCTGAGCCTATATTTACACAAAATTTGATTGTTTTGTTATGGAAATTTCTCGAAGCTTATTTTATAACAACCAATGAAATTCAAGAAAATATTTGCAATAGAAACGAGGGTTACTAAAAAATAAAGATAGAGTAGAAAGATTGTGTTGCACCAATCTGCCAAGTGGGAAAAGAGAGAATGAAAATTGGAAGTCAATATCCTGGATTTTGATGATTCTGTGAAACACAACAATCTTGACTATAGCACAATCCCTCAAATTATATTATTAGTCGCACATTTGGAATAAATTTATGGGGAAAGTGTCCGAGATTCGTAATGTTTTTGTTCGAGAACTTTCGATCATCTCTAGTTGTTATCAAAAACATTAAATAATGTAATAATAGAACAATTTTTAAGCTTCATCCTGGTATTTTTAAGGAATGCTAGAATTCTAATTTAGAAAGCCACATACAATGTTTGTTTTTTTTAGCATCAAACGCCGGACTGGAAAGAAAGACAAATGCAAATATTTTCATTTTTTTTTTTCATAAAATTCAAAACAATGTCTAAAATAATGATCTTGAAAAACGCTAGGTCATAATTACGTCCAGACAATTCGTTGAAATCCATTAATCGATGTGAAAACAAGAGCAAATAACAGACAAAAATAAACCAACTTCATCTGTACTCAATAAAGAATACGTAAAGGAAAATTTGTGGATAGATAGATAGATAGATAGATAGATAGATAGATAGATAGATATGAACATAGATAAGTATGAACAGATTTAAACAGATAGATAGATAGATAGATAGATAGATAGATAGATAGATAGATAGATAGATAGATAGATAGATAATCTATCGTCGTCGACGTTATTATTAATTTGGACTGGTAGTTGTAGTATCAACACCGCTCTTCTACGACTTGTAATATTTTATGATTGTACTTATTTACGGCTTCTGTCCAATTGAAAAACCATTTACAACAGTATCGGATCAATTGCTCAAATACTTTACTTAAAGAACTGCCTCTTTACTCTCTCTCTCTCTCTCTCTCTTGTTGTTCTTGTTCTTTTACTTCTTCTTCTTTTAATGTCAATGTTTACTTTCTTACTTTTTTTTCCGGCGAATAACAGACACTGCTTCTTCAATATGTCAATGTATGTCTAGTTTTCAGCCTGTCTGACCTTGTTACAATTCAACTGACAGGATGTTTACCTGCTTCTAAGAAAGTTACTTCCGTTTTGTCTCAGACACTGTGTCAAAGAAGCAACGCGAAAAGGCAGTTTAGCAACAATGTTCCCATTTTTCATTCATTCCCCCTCACCAACTCGGCGCCCTAACTTTCTCAATCGAATGTTCCCTTTTTTTGTATTGTTTTTTGTTGGTTTGTTTTGTTTAGTTTTCCACCCCCCTCCTTACTGGCTCTACGCCATTCTGTCTGTGTACTGTCTGTTTGAAGTGTGTGTATGTGTGTGTGTGTGTGGGGGGGGGCATTTGTATCTGAGATGACGATTTGCCGCTAGCCTCCAATCTAAACGTTTCATGATCAACCAAGCAAGCAAGTCTACAATTAACGCAACATATTTCTACCTTCACAGCAATTAGTACATACATATACATGTAAAATCTGAAATATTTTCTTGCCATAAAATACCTGTCAACTGGAAGAATTTGCGTGATGATGACTTTATAGTTATTCAGCCCCTACTCCAAATCGGAATTCTAAATGATCTTTTTTAAGTAATGTTCACCCAATACAAGGCTCACAAGGGCCACTCAAGGTAGAGTGTTACTGTGTGGATTTGGATTAGCGTAAGAAAGGGTAAGATAACAGGAAATATAGCAAATTCTAGACATGAAGAAGTCAAGATTTAATTAGCAAAAAAACTTCAGAGTCCAAGCGGGGACGTTAGGTGTCTAGAGTTCAGGTAGACAAAAACAGAAAACCAAATGCTAAACAGGGAATAAAGGATAACCCTCTACTCCTGTTCAAAAGACTGCTGAGTAGAGTGAGCCGGACGATCCTAGGATAATCGCGATTTTCACACTAGGAAGATTCTTGCAAAGAAATTTCCTTCTCCTTACAACTGTCAGGAAACATGTGTACTTGTAAAATATTCAATATAGCTATATCCTCTGTCTGCCTACTAGTACATTCACTAATTGTTTTATACAAATATTTGTTTTATAGACAACCACACGTTACCTAAACACGACACCAGACCTCTTGATATTTACACACTATTACTCTTGATATGTCGTCAATGTCAATCAACCCAAAAACAAGTTCCAGATGACTGAAGATGATTCTGGCTTGAAAAAAGCCCCTAAAATATTAACACAAATACATAACACCTTCGTTTTTCGCTCTCGCTTCATATATCTCGCCATCATATATATATATATATATATATATATATATATATATATATATATATATATATGAAGAAATATAGTCTTAAGATGTGCTATATTTATGGGATAAAGTGCTCAATATCAGAGATAGAGCGTGGCCTGACGATTGCGTCTAGCATAAAACAGACTGTCGCCTCTGAGTGTTGACTTCTATCTTCACTTTTATATATATATATATATATATATATATATATATATATATATATATATATATAAATCTCTGTGTGTGTGTGTGTGTGTGTGTGCGTGTGCGCGTGCGTGTGTAAAAGTTGGGTTCAGTGACGAGCTGAAGGTAAATAGCAGGGGCATCGGACCATATATGGCAGCAATATTCTAAGCATGGACGGATGGCAGACTTATAGATATGTAAGATAGATTCTAGAAGGAAAAATCGCCCGACATAGTGAACCGACTTTTTAAGCAGCTGACCTAACAATGGATTCAATATAATCTTTCTACTTCATTTCAGCCCTAGAAGGCGCAACGAGTCACTCTCCTGGAGGTTAGCATCAGAAGGCAGAGATGATTTCTCTCAGAGGAATAATAGAGAGAAGTTTAGTTTTGGAAGCGTTAAAATTAACAAGCCATCTTTTCAACAAAGATATTACTTATTTATTAGATTGAATAAAAAAACTTCTTTTCGTAGTTATTTATAAAATGGTAAATAAGAAATTTTGCATTGTCGTTGGTTTATATATTTTGATAATTTTGTAATTTGTTTCATAAATATTTAAATAAAAAGATTTATTTACAAATTTACTTCCTTGCAAAATGGTAAATAATACAAACTTTATAAAAGTTAAATAATAAATATTGCATTGTACTTGGTTCACCTATTTGCATAATCTTGTAAATCAACATTGCCGAGGGAGTCAAAAGTGTATACAGTAATAACGGTGTTAAGGGAATAACTGTCCTTTTGATAGACCATTTTTTGTTGGTACGAAGGTTAAACGTTGCCCCAAATTTACAAAATAGTTTGCAATAAACACCAGGAATAGGATATATTTCTATAAAGATTGATACAAAAAGAAAAAAAAAAAAAAAAAAATGGCTTTGCCCACTCAACAAGTCCACGTGATTTCTGTCGTGCTTTAGTGGGTATCATATGTGGTACCCAGAATGAGTACTCCTGTTCGTTCACATCCCTTCCCTGTCTATTGAATAGGAGTTGTTTTTTTTTAGAATTGGGTTTCCGGTTCCTTCACCTACAGTCTTTATATTGTCTTTCACTCCCAGTAACCTCTTGTGTCTTAATGGCATTGGAGTGAAATGATTAAAGAAATTACTTTTTCCAAAAACGCATTTCCAAATCGGAAACTTTGGTTCACAACATAGCCTTTAAGAATTATAGATGGTACATGTTTAAGAAAGTGAAAAACTGAAATATTTAGGCATGCTCTCTCCTTCACTCATGCACATCAATGGTAGACTAGGCCCGCTAACCTTCGGTGATAGCTAGTATCTGTTTAGCTGATTTTTTTTTTTATATACGGCTTATCAACC